CCTTATCCTTAAATAAATAAATAAAGTAAATTAACAGCTTAACTAAGTATCCATCTATGTTTGCGCCTAGCACACACAAAATTACATACACGTTTGACTGGTGGAGAATCCTTAAAGTTATTAGGGCTAGATTAATGACTTGCTGACAATGTCCCTGATGGCCATTAGGGACTTATCTGACGTTAATTATCATCATTAGATATGAATTATATAGAATACGTATTGTATTAAGTAATACGTATTCTTTTATACCTTTTAATCTCTACTTTTCATCAAAGAGATGTTATTGCAGATGCATTGCTTAGGTATAAACATACATATGTATGTACCACGATGGTACATATCTATGTACCATCCTAGACTGCATCGCACTTAACACCGGATGCAATTGTTTTCAAATACGTTCCTTGATAAGCATAAAAAAGCCCCACTACTGGGATTGCGTAGTTAGTGTCCCAGAGCTGATTGTTGAAGGATTTTATAGTCAGGCAAGTGGCCTTACTGTCAGTCAGATGTTATCAAACCCCCTAAGGCCATAATTAAACATTTTGCTGGAAGATTAATCGTAGAGTGTAAATATCTTCACGGAAATCTAAGCACAAGAGGGTGAAAGTGGAAAGGTCAGATAGTCCATCATGTTTCCTGGACGTAGTCACTGGTATTCTCTACTTAAATGAGTAGGTTAAGAATTAAATTTTAAGAAAAAAATATCATACACTTTCATAAAAAAAACAGAGCTAAAATGGGGATATCAGACATACGAGTATTTTTTAAAAAAAACACAACCCACTATAATAATAATTGCTTATACTTTGCCTACAACCTACAGGACAGTAGATACGTAACAATCAATAATTTTCAAGCTTAATGTAAACAAACAAATAATAAATAATACTAATTACTTACTCGTAAAAAAAAAACAATAAATGCAATCCCACTTCACTATGTAAAATCACTGGCCACTCATAAAAATTCACTGTAAAGCCGTATAAAATTAAAAAGTTTTTATTATAAAAACAACGTTTTCCCGCGCAAACGTCACACGAGCGCGCGTCCCGCCATTGTTTTTGTCTATGGCAACATGGCGCGCTCTATTTTTAGTGGAACTTAGCATGGGGTTGTTGCTATAATTTGGGGCAACAAGTGGGTGAATTATCCGATTCGCGCATGCGTGGTGGTCGCTGAGCATAGCACGCAAATAAGCGGGTGTGTACTTGCGTAAACGTTCCAATGTTGGAAAGTAATATTAATAGTACGTAATAGTGATTAGCACGAAAAGATAGGGTAATTTTTGCCTTATTTTACCCTCGAGTAGGTTTAATAATATTAAGTACGATAAAATGTGTCAGACATCAGAGACAAAAAATATAATAATAAAGAAAAGGAAGAGGCCTAAAAATAGTAAGTAATAGGTGTAAGTAATTGGTGATAATTAAAGACGAGTAGGTAGTTTGTTCGTTTGTTTCAGCCAAATGACGTCCACTGCTGGACAAAGGCGAATGTAGTAAAATTATTGAAATCTCGTAAGACTAAATCGTGTCAACAATAACCATCATTGCCAACAATCATTATACCAACATCGCCAACATTGGTGCTTCAACACCAAGTGTAGAAATAGCGTATTCGCGTGGGGTTGACATTCATATGAGAAAGCATGTGAACGCAGTAATTGTACCATTTACTTACAAGCCTGTGTCCGATGAAATAGAGAAATCCATTTTCCCAACGCTAAGCAGTCTGAATAGTTAAACTTTTGCCAATTTGAAGTAACTGCCTGTGAAAATTTGAAATAACTGATTTACTTACTGATTTTAATCATTTTATACAGCTTGAAAGCGGGTAATCACGTTGCTGATACATATTAGGTATAATATTATCATTGGGTATAACGTGAAGCGGAGAAACTTGCAACTCTACAGTAACTTATCAGCAATCTTTGACTCTATATTCTCCAGCATTCTGGTAATATTCAATTTACTGTATCGGTGATGGGAGAGCTGTTCTGGTGCATGCTTGGCCAATGCATTAGTTTCGTAGAATGCAGCCAGCATTCTGGGCACCATATCGCGTTGTTTGGACAGTGAAAATAATTATTTATTAAAAGTAGTTCACAAAGCTGCAGATCATAGATATTTTTATTACAATAGAGCTTCAGTTCGGTTGCTACATTCTTATGCGCAATGAAATTCCATGTCCGTGTGGGGGATACAAGCTCTCTATAAATTACACCATTAGCCGCCCATAAAAATGCCGTCACAAATAGAGTTGATGCACTCATAAAGCAGACGGACAGACAGTGCGTTTTTATATATATATCTTTGTCTCGGGTCAGGGCAGGAAGCGCGCTCGGCGAAGCACGACGTAGCCTTATGGAGTCCCAGGCCTCCATCGTCTTGACCGCAGCCTGAGAATTAACAGCCAGTACATTCAGCACTCTCCTCGTGATTTTTCTGTATTCTGTAGTGTCATCACAGAATACAAGCATTGGCGTAACTAATAGCGTCCGTCTGCTCGTTTGCCTCCTATCACATAAAAAAAAAAACTAGGGTCCTTTTTAAGAGGGGCCTGATGGGTCACGGGGGGGGGGGTGTACAATAGTTCTGGGGGAGCCGTTCCACCCCGTATTATTCGTAGAAGGAAAATTACAAATTCAACCTGATGTTTCCTGGGTCAAAAAGCAAGAGTTTTAATTAGTCCGTCAGTTAACTTATCAAAAAATACTCTATTTACGTATTTAAAACACTTTTACAAACTAATGGCAATTTAAAGAGATAAAGCGCGCTAAAGTTCATACGAAGAGGCCCGTGATGTCAATGAGTGCATAAAAGTGCCGCACTTTGTGACATCGCGCGGAACTTCAACGCACCATAACTATGTAATTATTTGTTAGATTGACAAATAAAAATATATGTGTCCAATATTTTTTGATATTAAACATGATGGACTAAAAATTTTTTTTAGGAAACTAGTCTATTATGATCCTTTACTGTGACCACGGACTTGAATCTGTTCTCCTCGGGCTATGCCCTAGGTGAAGCATGGCACGTGTGCCTTTATAACTTAGGGTCCTTAAGATACGATCTGGAAAGTTTTAAGTAAGTAAGCAACTTGAGAAACAGGTGATACGCATTGAAGGGATTCAACATAAAGGCTTTTAATGTCGACTTGAAATAGTCGTAGAATAAATAAAAGTGGCAGTAGTTTTTTCATTGTTACTCTCAATTAAGTAGATTAGTGGGTAGAAGTTAGATAAAGCGCCCAGTAGGGGTCAAACAGTAGGTACTCTACGAGAGGAAATACGCATTTTAACGCAATTTGCCAAGCCATTTTTTTCTGACTGTTGCCAGTAACTTGAAATAACAGTCAATCTGCAACGGCTGGAAGTCACCCCACGCTGTGCTTGCCAAGACATCGTCAACCCACATTGATCGTCGATCTATGGTCATGTTATAACTTTCCAGCTTTACCCCAAGCTCGTCAAAGAATTAATAACCATATATCAATATTTAAAATCTCTACTCCCATTAAAAAGCCACTGCAATCATAATAATAGGGAAATTCTCCTCAAAACTACCACAAAAACCAGAATCCATTAATTCAAATATAAAAAACTCCTGCATTAAGTAAGTATCAGTCAATTTCCATAGTGTTAAAGTTCATAGTGATCAAGGCACGCGCATGCGCGAACAAAAACAAACGCCTTGATCCATGACGTTGCGCGTGCATACAGACAGCCTGATTGGAAAGTGCTAGATTGAAAAACAGATTTAATTTAAACTTGAAAGCGAGGCATTATGATTTTAGTCGCTGACCGGAACGGTGAACTGAGAACGATGAACTTTATGAGCTTTTATTGAGCTTCGACTCTGATGTATAATAATATATCAAAATTACTAACCATGAAAAGTGTAGGTAGATAGTAAAAAACTTCAAGTATTCTAGGTTTTGGGTTCGGGTGGTGTAGAGCTGGCATTAAATAAGTAAGTAATTAAACGATTTCTTTGTTAATTAATATCTTGTCCATGAGGACAACGGTACTTTTTGCAATGTGAAATAACTGTGCAACATAACTTACAAGTAAAGAAACATGAGCATTTCCTTAATAAATACTTTAATCTCGTAACAGCTATTCTAAAAGGTCTTAAATATCGAATAAAATTACTCTACAAAACCTATTGGACAATAGTTATTGTTTTTTGATCTGTCGACATGGATGCGATTGGTTCATCACGCAGCACAGGTCGTGGCAGAAACAGTCGTCTCGGTGCGGATCTGTAAGGAATGGAACTGAGTGTAACTAGCTGAAGCATTTCTAGAGCACGTTTTATTAAGGGACTGATCATTTTTGGACGTTAAAGAGAGTGGACGTTAAATGGAAGACAGTAGAGCGGATAGAAAACAAAATAAGGAGTTTGTCATGAGTTTATCATTAAATCATGAGCTCCGAAGAAATGCCGGTGTTGGAGTATCAGCAACAGGTGAGATATAGAGCTACTTTTCAACAGCCAACTACCGTCGAATATAACAGTTCAGTTAAGTATTTACATTTAGAGTAGGCGCACACCGTTGATTTTTAGTTGGCCGATAGTTGTGCCCGATTTTAATTTGTATGAAGAATCGGCCAAATCGAATCGGCGTAGTGTGCGCACTCCCATACATGCCCATACTGATCAACTGCCCGACTAAACTATCGGCCGACGGAAAATCAACGGTGTGCGCCTACTCTAAAGATATCTAAAATCGTTTCATATTTCATTTCGCAATTTAAAGCTTTACATCTGATTTAAGTCATGCAGGAATCGTAACCAGAACCAGACCGGATCGACAGTATAAGTGCTTACTAAAATGTTAGCTAAGTAAATCATGGTAGAGTCACTATAAATTAAAACATTTTAACAATTAAAAATATTTATTAAATTGAGTAGCAATTAAAAAATAGATATGTAAAAATGTAAGTAAATAATGTATCACAAATTCTTTTCAAAAAGTATAAAATTCCATCAAACTTCAACTTTTTCACATTTCACACAACCTTCGTCGTGGCAGAAGCAGTCATCCCGGTGGGAATCTGAAAGTAACACATTACAATAAACTCTATAAGCATCTGTAAAAGCTTTAAAAAAGACACAAATTACGAGGAATAATTTTTCACTGACTGAGATTGTTTTCGAATTTACCAGCCTTGAAGATTTGCATTTATTGAGGTTTCACGTGAATTGACATGATGGCAGTAACTTACGTTTCTATTTTAAATAGCAAAACTTTTAGTTCATATTTCAGTCTCCCTTTAGTCAGGTCTTTCAGCTTTCAGTTTAAAGAAGAGACGATAATGAAATGGAAAGCATTTAAGGCTTATTTAGGTACCTACTTTTAAAAGGAGCTTTGCTGTTATAGACTAAGTATCTACACGACTAAAACTACCAAGCTACATTTGAGGTCTACCTTCAGTCAAGTCGTCATTATAGTAGATGAGTAGCGCCGGTATGTGCATGTTCTCTGGTAGAGCCACATCGCTGAAGCGGTCCCGTTCATCAGGCACTCCGTTGTCCGCCAGGGTCTTGGTCAGGCACAGTCCCCGGCCCAGGTACCGCCAGGAGTAGGAGAGCATGTGCGAGTTGTGAGGCAGGTAGCGCATCATGATCTGGTAGAGCGTCTCTTCGGAGCACACCTCCAGGGTTACGGTGTTGCCTGCGATTTCAAGCGAAGATACTATTGAGTAACAGCTTCTGCCACTGAGCAAGGCTTCTGCCTGCGGATTGCGTGAATACAGGTGTTTCGTTTCCCAATGGAGGTAAACTTTTGTACTTGGTTTGGTTAGTGGTAGGATTATATAGTCCAGTAGAATTAGCTTTTAAATCGGAAATAATGCNGAGAATGACGGAATTGAACTGCTTCTGTAGAGCCTTTAGTACCAGCGAAGCTCAGCTATAATGCCGTAACACCTGGTGCCTTGTTGTATTTCAGCTATTTGAGTGCCATTTTAATCGTGTACAAACTGAAGTCTTATATAATATCTTCGGTATAGTGTCAGGTCAATCTAGCTCTTGGGTTTTGCAATATTTGTTTTATGTTTAAGGTTAAGAATAAATAAACAAAGAGACCCTGTGTTATGTATTTTATTTGTTTTATTTAAATAAAATAAAATAATATATAAAAATTAAGTATTTATTATAGTTCCTTATTAAAAAATTAAACATATTGATGAGGATTTTTGTTTTATTCCATTGGTATTTCAGACACATAAACCTAAAATGAACCATCTAACTAATAGACCAGCAATCAGATATCAGAACGTTTTAAGTATTTATTATATTAATTATTGAAATACATTAGGTATTTCTTCATAATGTCATCAATTCTAAGTTTGCGGAGCGATTTTTATATTTGGAGATTCATTTCTCAATTCCGTGATTCATTTTCTCAATTCGGTGCTTTCTCAATTCGATGCTTAACATTTCTCATAAACCACTTTACAATATTTAGTGACAATGCTATTTTTCCATTCAGAATGGAGTAACATTTATTTTTTTGTATTGAAACTACTTAAAAAACTAAATATAAATTTTAGCACCGAATTGAGAAAAAATACACCGTACAGTAGAAATGCCCATTAGTGATCCTTATCGGCCTGGTCTTCGCAGTAGCCTTCCCCACCACCAGCCCCTCATCCAGCCACCACGGCTTCTCAACCGGGCGCCATCTCGTCGAGGGAACCACCGGCTGCCGGTGGCCGTGGCCATGGAGCTGGTACGTGGTGGGTAGCCCCGTCACAGGGTGCAGGTATTTCACCCATTCGTCGCCCTTGAACCAGTGGCTAACGTCTTTCCCGGCGTAGGCTACTATCATCACGGCAAGCTGGAGAATCAAGGGGGAGAACAAGTTTCGATCAAAGTAAATTACTTACTACTTACTTATGCTGGTAAATGTAAGGTAGGAGCTGATGAGGATTGGAAGCAGGCATCTCGCTACGCAGTGGAGACGGTCAGTTCGTTCGTTCGTTCGTTCGTTTCAGCCGAGATGTTCACTGCTAGACAAAGGCCTCCCCCAAGGATTTCCACGAAGACCGATCCTGCACCGCTCGCATCCAGGCACCTCCCGCGACCTTCACCAGATCGTCGGTCAGATGGTAGATTTATAGATAGGTTATTGGCATTGGTTACTGCGTGGTTGTGATCATTATAAGAAACTAGAATGGTAAGTATTTGCGATTAATACATTTATTTGAAAGGATACTCAGTAAAAAGGGAAAATGTGCTGCCTACCCTCTTCCCGTCGCAATAGGCAAACCCTCTCTTGAAGCAGTTACAGTACTCCACGCAGTTGTCGTCACAGAACCAGTTCTTGACGGGGCAGGAGCAGGATTTAGTGCACTTGCAGACCTTGAAAAGATTTGACATTACATCTAGCTGCCAACTTATAGCAGTTTTATATTTTTCCACAAAAACGGCACGGTACTTCGTAGACGAAGCAAGATTCGGGTGTTCCCCGAAGAACTAAGTACTACCGGTAATTTATAGGTAGGTACTTCTGATGTAGAGCGCCTGCCAAACTTCAAGTCTGAAAAAACCTCAGACATAGGGCATGGTACGTTTATTAATCCTCTAGGGTACCTTTTATATCCTAGCTATGACCGTTTATGTGTCAACGATCTATGGAGTGATAGTGGCATCTTGCCAAACGCTGCATAAGATACCGTCTAGCAAGATGTAACGACGATATAAGCAAGGTGTACGTGAATGGTGTAGTACTTAATAAACCTCTCTACGAGATTAGACCAAACTCAGGTTCAACCTTGAACTGCTGCGTGAGCCAAGGCGTCATATTCAGGACCTTCCCATTCAAAGATATCCAGCAGTCACCAGCGCGGTTGTGGATGGCCACCTCGGCTGGAGTATACCATTCTTGCTTCGTGTATATCATGTTTTGTTGTAAATGTTTACAAAAGTGGACTGTTATTTGTATAATTTTAACCGTCAAAATTGATGGCCATAGATTTTTGNGTGTTTAATTCTACTGGCCTAATAGGGCTCTTTCAAATTCGTTTTGAGATCGACGTTTCTCGTCCGTTTGGAAGACCGCACACTCTGTTGGTTTGACTGACTGCAAACGGACGACAACGTCTGTCTCAAAACGTCTAATTTTAAATAGTTCTTCTAATTCCGCTCGGGTTCTAATACCACCATTTTAATTATTGTGTCATCATTCGATATAACAAAAATTTTAATCCCATTATGGTGTTTAGACAGTTGGAGGCAAGTTATGGTCAAACAAATCTTACCATTCAAAGTATTAGTGATCCTTATCGGCCTGGTCTTCGCAGTAGCCTTCCCCACCACCAGCCCCTCATCCAGCCACCAAGTCTTCTCGACGGGGCGCCATCTCGTCGAAGGAACCACCGGCTGCCGGTGGCCGTGGCCATGGAGCTGGTACGTGGTGGGTAGCCCCGTCACAGGGTGCAGGTATTTCACCCATTCGTCGCCCTTGAACCAGTGGCTAACGTCTTTCCCGGCGTAGGCTACTATCATCATGGCAAGCTGGAGAATCAAGGGGGAGAACAAGTTTTGATCAAAGTAAATTACCAACTACTTACTTAAACTGGTAAAGGTAAAGTAGAAGCTGATTAGAATTAGAAGGAGGATTGGAAGCAGGCATCTCGCTACGCGGTGGAGATGGTCAGATGGTAGGTTTATAGATAGGTTATTGGCATTGGTTACTGCGTGGATGTGACCATCATATGAAACTAGAATTATATTTACGTTTATTTGAATGGATACTCAGTAAAAAGGGAAAATGGGTTGCCTACCCTCTTCCCGTCGCAATAGGCGAACCCTCTCTTGAAGCAGTTACAGTACTCCACGCAGTTGTCGTCACAGAACCAGTTCTTGACGGGGCAGGAGCAGGATTTCGTGCACTTGCACACCTTGAAAAGATTTGGCATTGCATCTAGCTGCTATATTACACTTCAGACCCACCGTAACCCTACGTATGCTTTCAGTTGAAAAATAAGAGTGGCTCATGTCTTTAGATTCGAAGGTTTTGGGCATGCTTCCAATTATTATAACAATGACACAAGCAAGGCAAGGTGTACCTAGGTCGTTATAGATCATCTTATCCACGAAGACTCGTCCCATCAAATGTAGGTCGAGGGAAGCACGATGTGCGGGGAATTTGATCCGAGCAATCCGAACGTCATATTAGCTATTATTGTAGTGTGTGTGTGCACTCATGTATAATTTAGGTACCAAATAACCGATAACACTCAAAAATGAGCGAAAGGATGGTGGGGCGCGTCTTCGTGAATGGAACGATCTATAGCTGGTGGAAGAGAATGGGTCTATATGGATGATGATATAATGGATCTATGTAGGTATATGAAATTGTAATAAGTAGTTCAGTACACTCGGGTACAACCTTGAACTGTTGCGTGAGCCAAGGCGTCATGTTTAGGACCTTTCCATTCAAAGATATCCAGCAGTCACCAGCGCGGTTGTGGATGGCCACCTCGGCTGGAGTATACCATTCTTTCTTCGTGTATATCATGTTTTGTTGTAAATGTTTACAAAAGTGTGGACTGTTATTTGTATAATTTTAACCGTCAAAATTGATGGCCATAGATTTTTGTGACGTGTTTTTTGTTGTTTTTACGTTTTTTGGCTTTCGCCGGTTATCTTTTAGCCTTCGCCAGTTATGACCTTAGCCTTGGCAAAAAAGGGACTATGAAGATCGCGCAACGGGAGAGGCCATACCCATTTTTTGTCTATGACTTAAGATCAAAATCATAATCAAAATTAAATACTGTATCGAATAACGCACTAGAGGACTAAATCTACCCCGTCTAAAAATAGTGTCCTCTGTGGACAAGTCTCTCGTATGCGCAGATATTTATTGGCAGCAGGGCCGTTTTTAACCTACTAGGGGCCCTGGGCACATAAGGATCAAGGAGGGCCCCTTTCAGCTGGGAAAAGGTTTTTCGAGCAGACGGGAGCCCCCTCGGTGGCGGCACGTGCCCAAAGTGTCCCGTACGAAAGAGGGCCTGTATTGGCAGTGCAGAGAATAGTACCTACAGTGGCGTAGCCATGGGGCGTAGCTAGGTAACCAAGGGCCCTGGGGCAAATAAAAAAATGCTCCACTGCAGTCTAAACTGGTTAGGTTTTATCAAGTTTATTGACATTAAGCTTACTTCCTCTTGATACACCTTTAGAATTTCTCTCTATTTATTTTGAAAATGGGAGAAAGTTTCAAAGTTCAGTTCAAATAAGATTTTCTGGTAAGGATGCCCCCGCCTTGCCCCTTAGTAGCTACGCCTCTGAGTACCTACTGCAAAAAATTTAAAATAAAATCAAATATTAAGTAAGAAATTATTAATTTTGTAAGGGCTACGCGTATGCACAACGTATCATCGTCGGAATAATAAAACAAGCAAATAATGCGACCAATACATGTATAATAAAATTCATGAAACATAATAAATTACATCATTTATTATATACCTGACTGGGTACATACTTTTTTAAACAATAACTATATTATGAATATAGTACATATAAACATTTAACACACACACAATTACGGGAGATTTCTTTAGAATCAAGTCACATCTTGCGATACAGCGTTTAGATAATTTACCTATTTTAAACTTTCGCGTTCCATTTCAATTAAAATAGTAAGACACGGGTCTTAACGCGACGTTTATTAATGACTGCAACGTGAGCAGCCAGTCTGCTTGTGACCACGGCTGCAGCATCGCAGCCGAAACTTCAAGCCGTGAGTACATAATGTAACTCATTAATAAACGTCGCGTTAAGACCCGTGTCTTACTATTTCCATTTACCTATTGCTTATAGATTTTTTACGATTTTTCATAAAATTTACTATTTTTGTAGCTTTCATAACATTGAGTAAGTGAAAAATATTGCTTGTGCATAGGTCGATATTATTCAGTCATAAAATAATTTCGTTTACAAAAAATACTCTTTACATCTACTCAAATATACAATCTATAAAATGAAGCACAGTGGTGTCTTGTAACTACTACAAGAATTTAAATCTGAAGTCTATTCACAATTACATTTAGAATTTAATTGGTATTGCAGATTTAAAATGCAATAAGAACTATTTTATTTATTATCCGAAGAGTGAATAGACTTCAGAATTTATTTTTCAGAAGCCTAAGGATATAAATATCCGATCGGCAAATCTACTATCAAAATTGAGAGCCGTATAAAGCCTGGTCCGTGAGCACGTAGAATTTGGTCCAATGACCCCAAGCTACCCATCCTTATCGCTCGCGCGTAATTATGTTGCGGTCGCGCTCGCACACTCACTGCGGGCGCGCGTCGCACAGTCGCGACAGCAATATAATTACGCGCGAGCGATAAGGATGGGTAGCTTGGGGTCATTGGACAAAATTCTACGTGCTCACGGACCAGGCTTATTATCATACAACCGCAAAACACAGACAATATAGAATATTATTACTGAACAATACAAGTCGATCACAGCCACAGAAGTTTTTACAGAAGATTTACCAAACAGAATATTTGAAATTATAGAACTAGCACTAACTTGGGCAGTGCCTGAGATATGGAAGCGGCTCGGGAGGGTTGACATTGGCATAATAAGACGTGACAGAAAATACAAATCTGAAGCATATACTGCCGCACTAGCGATATCAGCAGTAACTCCATTGTGTGGCAAAACTATAATGAGCTCATTTTAGATGAGCTGACAGGAGTTTTTTTTATTGCAAAATATTGGAGTTACTGCTGATATAGTTAGCACGGCAGTATACATGTCATATTATGTATATGACCTACACTGAATTGTCCCACTAAACTCATTGACAGAGGGGCGCCACCATCGTTCAACTACATAGTCTCCAACATGGCAAAAATCGACACCAGCGATCCGGTATTGAAGGTGGCGCCCCCTGTCAATGTCACGAGTGGGACAGTTCAGTGTATTGGGTCTATATCTGAGGTTTAACGTCTCAAAAACCTTCCCGTGCCGCTCCCTTGTATCAGGCACTGACTGGTTAAGTATAGTCTGGTCGCCGAGCACGTAGAATTTTGTCCAATGACCCCAAGCTATCCATCCTTACTGCTAAACTCATCTTTACAAACAACCTCCTCAGTCCTTTCCAATCTGGTTTCCGGCCCGGCCACAGCACCAGCACCGCATTACTCAAGGTGACGGGAGACATTACGATGGGAATGGAACATGGCCAACTAACACTTGTTGCACTCATCGACTTCTCTAATGCCTTCAACACAGTTGACCATGAAGTCCTTTCCATGTTATCCCGCTACAATATGTCACCTGTCGTTATGAATTGGTTCGCTTCCTACCTCTGCGGTCGCCAACAGGCCGTTCGTTTAGATAAAATTATTTCCCACTGGCGCGACCTCGTGACTGGTGTTCCGCAGGGTACAGCAATAAGGATGGGTAGCTTGGGGTCATTGGACAAAATTGTACGTGCTTTAGAAAGTATTCATTTCAGTCTACGCCCGGCTAGTGTCATGAGGTGGGAGTAGGTTGGTGGGGGGCCTGGGATAGGTGCTTGACGATGTCCACCCAATCCCACCCTCTGGGTTTCTCTCCACCACGACCGNCGCACACACTGACAAAATTTATCGTGGATTAGCGGTGAGGTGCGCTGAATTTTGTCAGTGTGTGCGTGCGCGCCGCATACGTATTGGCGCGCTCACATGCAAACCACGCTCGGTGCGTCTCTATGAAGATGACCTACTCATTTGTATTTACTCTGGTATAGATGAACTACACTGAATTGTCCCACTAAAGTCATTGACAGGGTGGCGCCACCATCGTTCAACTACATAGTCTCCAACATGGCAAAAATCGACACCAGCGATCCGGTATTGAAGGTGGCGCCCCCTGTCAATGTCACGGCTGGGACAGTTCAGTGTATTGGGTCTATATCTGAAGTTTAACGTCTCAAAAACCTTCCCGTGCCGCTCCCTTGTATCAGGCACTGACGGTTAAGCTAGACCTATAGTCTGGTCGCCGAGCACGTAGAATTTTGTCCAATGACCCCAAGCTACCCATCCTTACTGCTAAACTCATCTTCACAAACAACCTCCTCAGTCCTTTCCAATCTGGTTTCCAGCACCAGCACCGCATTACTCAAGGTGACGGGAGACATTACGATGGGAATGGAACATGGCCAACTAACACTTGTTGTACTCATCGACTTCTCTAATGCCTTCAACACAGTTGACCATGAAGTCCTCCTTTCCATGTTATCCCGCTACAATATGTCACCTGTCGTTATGAATTGGGTCGCTTCCTACCTCTGCGGTCGCCAACAGGCCGTACGTTTAGATAAAATTATTTCCCACTGGCGCGACCTCGTGACTGGTGTTCCGCAGGGTACAGCAATAAGTATGGGTAGCTTGGGGTCATTGGACAAAATTGTACGTGCTCGGAGACCGGGCTTTAGAAAGTATTAATTTCAGTCTACGCCTCGCTAGTGTCATGAGGTGGGGGCGGGTTGGTGAGGGGCCTGGGATAAGTGCTTGACGATGTCCACCCAATCCCACCCTCTGGGTTTCTCTCCACCACGACCGATTTCGGCTTTGTCCCACGCTCTGCGCTTCTGAGCTTTAGTTAGTTGTTCTTTCTTCTCTGTCTTTTTGCTGGTATCCACCTGGAAAGAGAAGTTATGCAAATGAATTATTATAAGTGTGGTCAAAATTTTGAGATGGGATTTCTGATAGGATTTTACAATGGGATAAATCAGTGACTAAAGGTGACTGAGTTTCTTCCACCACTTTAATCTCAGCACCGGCCCATATTATGTTGTCCCGAAATGGTGGTAGGGCAAGCTATTTAGGATGTGTATAAGCTCTCAGGAAAAAGCCCAAGTACTGAATAAAAGCAGAGTAAATACAAATGAGTAGGTCATCTTCATAGAAACGCACCGAGCGCGGTTTGTATGTGAGCGCGCCAACACGTATGCTGCGCGCACGCACACACTGACAAAATTCGGCGCAACCACGACTGGCTCCCCGCTAATCCCCGCTAAATTTTGTCAGAGTGTGCGTGCGCGCCGCATACGTGTTGGCGCGCTCACATACAAACCTCGCCCGTGCGTTTCTAAGAAGATGACCTACTCATTTGTATTTACTCTGATAAAAGCTTTGATCTTGTCTGATAGCCAGCTATTAACAATAATAGTAACAGGAATATACATTCACAGAAATATTAACAGTCATTGTCAAAGATGTCAATACTAGTACCTGATCTTCAATAACTATTTTCTCAACTCTCGAAGACACAATCGCCTCCTCAGTCTGCTCGGCCAATATTTCAGGAACCTTCTCTTTTAGACATTCGAAGAGTGTGTACGTCATCGCACAACCAATCCATTGTTCTGCTTCTGCATTCACAATCGATAAGATCTTCTCTTTCACTGAAGGTATTCTGGAAAACATCAGGAACGTGTTTAGTGTATGCGCACACTAGGCGACAGCTCGGCAACTTGACGCATATCTTGTCAATTTCTTATCGTGTCGCCAAGTGTGCGAAGCTTTGAACAAAAATGAAATTGTCAGCCGCATCTGTCGTCGCGTCTAGTCGCCGCGTCTGTCGCCTAATGTGTTACGTGCGCACTTTCATTCATCTCCATGCTGATCAACAGCCCGACCCAAATATCGGGCCACTAAAAGTCTGTGGTTTTGCCTAGGCTTAGAGATTATTTTACAGTTCAAATGAAAAAGAAGTATTTTCAAACAAATCTTTGATTTTACTTTCTGATAGTAGTATCATGAAGATAAATATAGTTAATTATTGTTTAGGAAATTACATTACACAGAAAGTCCTCACTCTTTCATACATAGATAATAATATTAGAGCAGCTACAAAATACTTACAAATGTTGATTGTAAAATATTTCTAAATTGAAGTTGGGTTTTTCTGTTGGATATGTAGGACCCCATGTTATTTCTAGAATAAATGACTTCTCTCCATCCACATACTGAAAAAGAAATTCATGGTTTAATACTGGTACATATTATTAGTTGGGACTAATTAACTAAGAAGTATTTTTTATGCTGCTAAATGTAACCTTTTTGTATCATTTCATTTCTAATAATAGGTAACAGGCTATAAAATTTTGTTAACAGAACGCATTTAAAATGCAACCTGATAAAAATGTTTCAGTCAACATATTGATTCTGTGAACACTCAAACTATTATGATTGTCTAAATTGATAATAATATGTACAATGCAGGGAATGTTTATTCATTTTACCTTGTATTGATAGGTTTTCGAATCCACTTGTTTGAAGCCTTCGTCGCCATCATAAATTGACTTCAGGACTTCCACCTCCTCGGCTTGTTGCTCGGCATCATCACACATTTTGTACTTCTACAAACTGAAATTATTTTACCGTTATAATGATAATTTTTTACAAAAAATTAAGTCTGAGATTAATTCAATAATATGAGTTAAAAATTGTAATATTCAGAACAATTTTTAAGATGACTAATTTAATATTATAAGCAAGGAATGTGCTGATAATCGCTTTAAACAAGTAACAAGGCACTAAAATTAATGCACTTAAAAATGGATAGAAAACCTAACCTTTAAACAAAGAAAAACTGAAACATATATCAAGAAGAGTAATATTATGGGTCATTATACTAAACCTAGGTACTGTGTATATTTTTAAAAAGTAAATAAAAGTTACTACAACAATTAAGATCAATAAACTCACTGGGAAATTGCCTACTTGGAATATTTTAATAAATAAAAAAGCCTATATGGATTTTCCTATTGAATGAATCAAGATGTAGATTAGCTTTAATTAAATATGTACTTCGATTTTGAATCCTTTTTGTGTAAAATATGGTAAAATACCACTACAACACGCCAGCACTTCCAAAATTCAATCAGCTGTTTTTTGTCAAAGAAGCACTTGCTTGCTGTCAGGTAAAAGCATTTACGAATACCTACATCCACTCATAAAATAATCTTCAAAATATTTTAGGAATTGTAAATAATCACCCAAAAGGGTTTTAACTTTATAAAAATATTAAATATTTCATTGAGATACAAAAACTAATACACAAAGTTGTTCAAATAATATTTATGTGCATTTACGAAAGCACACTTTATTGTGATTTAAACTATTTCCGTAAATGCAAGTCACAAATGTTGCCAAAACTGAAAAAAAATGTAGTTGTAGTAGTTTAAAACAAAACGAATTTCCTTTTGGAATTCTGTTGAAAGTCAATTTATCAACCAAAAACTATGCAAAAAACGTTACATTTATGTAGTTATACAGTTTTTGATTATTTAAAGTGTATCTATACTGAAATTTTCGATGAGAATTATTAGAAGATCAAAAATAACTTTTTTGACATTAGTAGTTTATTTGTGGTGATAAGTTTATTTAAAAAAGTTATGTCAAACAAATCCAAAGAGAATGAATGAAAACTGACACAAAAATACGTTATTCGAAACTTCAAATTGCGCGAACTCGAAGTGATTCCATGTAATTTATAAAAACTAAGTAACATTGATAATTCTCAAGATGAACGTTCCTAAATGTGGTTGTAGTAAGGAGAATCGTCCACATAACGCAGTTCGGGCTGGATGTAGCTGCTCGACGAACCCTCACAAGATGCCAGCTGATAGCTTCAAAATACCAGCTGTGCCGATCGGCAGGCCACTGCACCCCAGCAATAAAGTGAACTTGTGCGAACCAGGTTCTTCTGGCATTAAATGCGATCTACAAGGCAAAAAAGATGACAAGAAAAAATCGTGGTCTCTGTCTGATTTCGACTTGGGACGTCCACTCGGTAAGGGAAAGTTTGGCAATGTTTACTTAGCGCGCGAGAAAGAATCGCACTACGTAGTAGCGTTGAAAGTGCTCTTTAAAAGTCAGATTCTGGACTCCGAGATAGAGCATCAGGTGCGGCGCGAGGTTGAAATACAGTGCCGTCTTCGTCACCCCAATATTCTTCGTATGTACGGCTACTTTCACGACGAAAAACGAATTTATCTAATTCTGGAGTACGCAAAGCACGGCGCGCTTTACAAGCTGTTGAAAGAACGCGGGCGTTTCGACGAGAAAACTGCAGCAATTTACGTAAGAGACTTGACAAAGGCATTGGTGTATTGCCACACAAAGAAAGTGATTCACCGGGATATTAAACCTGAGAACTTATTAATCGGACATAATATGGAGCTGAAAATCGCCGATTTTGGTTGGTCAGTCCACTCACCATCTTCTAGAAGAATGACATTGTGCGGGACACTTGATTACTTGTCACCAGAGATGATAGAAGGAAAGCCACACAACTATGCAGTTGACATTTGGAGTCTTGGAGTGTTGTGTTATGAATTACTGGTTGGATTACCTCCATTTGATGCTAAAGATTCCAATCAAACATACAGAAAGATAAGGTATGTGATTATTAAGTATCCAGAGTTTATTTCAGAGAAGGCAAAAGATTTGATGGGTAAATTGCTAGTCATTAATCCAGAACAGAGGTTGCCGCTGACCAGTGTGCTGCAACACCCGTGGATCCTGGAGAACGCCCCGGAAGGCGTTCCTCCACCGGCGTACACTCCAGAACAAATGCAACACTAATAAATTGTATATTTCCTAAGAGTATTTTAGCACAATATTGTATCTTTAAATTATGCATCAGTTTATGACTTAGTTACATTTTTTTTAAAATTAATTATGATAATATCTTTAATGTTTGCCTGAGATAGAATTATCCAAATACTTATAATAATGATTTTGAAACTGTCTATTATTAGTCAATATGATCTTTTAAGGTGTTTCATAACAAGCTCATTAGCATAATTAGATTTTAATCAAATATTACTTAATTTTGAGACCATGTAGATTATATTTATTTTTGTAAAAACTTTGATACGAACAGTACTGTGGGTAGCATTTGACTGCATAAAAGACTTGAATTGACTGAACAAATTTATTTATTCCAGTACTACAAAGTTTTTATCCTAAACTAATTAAACAATCATGTTATTATACTGTAAATATCTTTAAAATACATTGTTTCTATGGTGCAATCATTGTTTTTTATTTTTGTTCATGTAGTACAAATGTATTGCATATTTATCAAATTTTGGATCTCTTTTTACAATTAGATGCCAATGAATGAGTTCTCCAATCAAACCGATGGTGCTAATAGAATATCCTATAGCCAATGCAATGAAAGCACCATAAAGTTTTTTCAAATTCATCAAAGCCTTAACTTCATCTTCATTTGTTTCCAAGGACTTAATTGGGTGCATGGCATCATTCAACCATTTTTCTACTAGACCTACTTCCACTATTCTCCTCAAATAGATATCGGCGAGTGGTTTCAAGGGTGAATTCTTATGGAAACCTATAGATATTGGTGTATTTACAACACAATCTGACATAATATGCAGATTTCTTTCCATCTCTCCAACAAAGACGTCAGTTGTATTTGAAGTTGCATTGACCATGTCCGACTGTATATTCATATCTATGTTCTTTCTCTTCACTCTAATATACTTCAAGAAGTTCTCGTTGTCGTAATAAGCGTACACGCCTTTTGCGACTTTATTTGCAGCTACGAAAGGGTCATTAATCGTTTCAAATCGTTGTCCTATAGTTTGAATATCATCAGATGATTCTTGAAAGAATTTCTTTGTTTCCATGCCCCAGCCTCCACAGGCTATTTTGCTTTCGACTAGTTCCTTCAAGGTGTCTATCGTGACCCTAGGCGCGGGGTTAGCTAGTATAGCCGTCATACTAGCTCTGTAAGAGACCACTAGAAGCACGCAATACAACCAGTACCAACCGGTTAGTAGTCTTATAGACCAACCGGTGGGCAGTTTGGGTAGCGAAACGACGAGCAACATGGCGTATGTGTAAAGAATGCTGTTTATTATTTCGCCAAACAAATACAGGCCGACCGGCTTCTCGGCGGTATCTGCAAAGTAAACAAGGGGTTAGTATGAACACGACCTCGTTAGTTGTTGGGGTCATTGCCTGCAAATCTTGTTTTGTAGGTTTATAGGGGCATTCTCTCTACCAGCCTACAACTGAAAGATACAACGTGCGACAAAGATCTTGTCAATCTCGTTGTCTAGACGAAATCGCGTTCGGTGACAAGATCGCCAAGTGATTTTGAAGGTAGGACTAAGTAGTTTTAGAATAGACACCTACCCAGTTGTTTTTCATTTGTGTTCCTACTTTCATGTGTCTTTATGTATTCCTGTAAGTTCATGTAATGTCTTGCTAACCCATAGAAGATACTTCCTGATATCAGCAGAACCACCAACACCGCGATCCACATATTCAACCTGTAAATATAATAATGTAGGTAATTACAGCTTAAAACATTGTTATTAAAAATACGTAGGTAAATGCTAGTAGATACTTGAAAGGCAATATCAAAGTTTTCCACGAGTTGTCGCTCAAAGCCTCTGGCGTTATAAACGTAAAACATTGCGAAGTGTATGGGATACTCAGGTCGGTCAATTCCAGGTGATACGGGCTGTACTGAAGATTCCCCAGGGCCAAGTCAGCTTTTCCGCTGACCATTTCACCTAAAAGGCCTGAGAAAGTCCCATTGGGTTGTATTTCTCCCCATTTGTGTAGATCGGCATTCTGTGGTTCATACAACTTGGGCTGGAAGTTCATTTGTTTTGCGAGTGTGTTGAGAATCTATAAATAAAGGAATTATTTAGGCTTGCAGAATATACAGGGTGTTAGGGATAGGTATCGACCGCGATCGCGAGTTTAAATCCTACAGGGGTCAAAACGAGAACGATTATCCTGGGCTGGGCACACATTTTAATAGATTAGCAAAGTCTAACGTTAAACTTTATTCATTTACTTTTAATTAACCTCTCATTCGAAATCAGGTCCTTCGGATTCTTATACTTACTTCAATCTCCACGCCACCGACTTTGTTGGTGTCATTAGTTTTGGTTACGACCACCGACGGGACATGATCCAAATAGACTACATACAAAGTCTCATTGTTCAAATTGCTGGTCTTGTCGGCAAATAAGGTCCTATTGTAGTGGAATCTTCCGTTATTCCAAATATCAACCCTTCGGGACACAAACACGTTTTTGATGGGGTTCGGGAATGGTACAGTGGAGAGGTCAAACCAAGCCTTGCTTTTTAAGACCCCGTTGATTTTGCTGTGGTAACGAAGGAAGATCACGTTGATGATACGCTTCCAGAGGTAGTGGAGATCGCTGTGGAAGAGTCTGTAGTCGTGGAGCATAATGTATTTTGCTCTGGTGTCTAGGATTCGATACCTGCGGATAAATTTTAAGTGGATCAGTGAATACTGTCAAATACTTATTCAAGAAACGTTTAAAGATGTTACCTATCACCAAAGCGAAGCAGCCGCGACGTCTGAATACCATTAGCAAGTAGAATAACGTAGATATTGCAGCCATCTTTCCTTGTTTCTCTCAGAGATTCCAGCGTGTCGAAATTAGGAGAGAGCAGATCTTCGTATTCTTCTACGACGATCTAAAAATAAAACGTGCTTTTACATAAGATCCCATTCTTACTTAATAGGTATAAAAGACACATTATTATGATGTAAAGACTGGTCCGTAAGCACGTAGAATTTTGTCGAATGACACCAAGCTACTCATCCTTATCGCTCGCGCGTAATTATGTTGCTGTCGCGCTCGCATACTCACTGCGGGCGCCCGTCGCACAGGCTTTAGGTAGCTTTACCTACGGGAACTCAAAATGGTAGTAAACAAGATGTGGGATTTAGTTCTGAATGTCCCGCATAAACGGGACATAGATTCCCGCATATTATGCTACACTTACCATAACATACGGCACAGCCGCAGTCCGCCTAAACAGGCTGCCTTCAAACACGTTCAGGTAGACCACATCACAAATGATGGCTACGCAAGTTATGTCCTCTTGGCGAGACAGTCCGTTGAGCAGGTCGACGAGGATCAGCTCCAGATCCTTGCGCTCGTTCAGGTTTCTAAGGATGGGGGATAGGTCTGCAGCAGCTCTGGAATTGGTGAAGAATCACAGATTTTGGATTAGTGAAGAATAATGTCACAATAATGGTGGGACAAATAATGGTGGGACAACAGCGCAAGGTTTTATAATGATTCATTGGTCAATTTCATTTAAAGCAGTAGATTTTTCTTGTTGAAAATAGGTCAAAAGTCAAGGTTGCAAGGACACCCTGACCCTGTTGTTTTAAAGGTCCCTCGTTTAATCGGCCGTTATAGGTCTAGTATGACGTTATATTAATTAATCTAAGGTGCTTTCTACAAATAGGATTCTGAATATTATAATAATTATATTTACATAATGAGTCACTTACCTGGCAAAAAGAACGCTTAAAAATACCGCCTTCAACATGTTTGCTCGCCACTTCCCAGGGTAAAAAAGGAATGCTCTTTACCACAGCTGTTTGGTCGACTGATTGACACGCTCATGTAACATGCAAACCCAATCGGAGCTAAGCTTTGTATTTTGAATGTACCCAAATTAGATGGGTGAATATTTTATTAGTGCTTTGGTCAACGTACAAGCTTAAAATCGGGAACGTAATTGGATTCATTAAAGTTTTCAGAATAAATATCAGTTGCAAAAACATAACATGCTAGAATTTAGACTATAATACATAGGTAAAATAGGTAGTGTGCTCAATATCCAAAAAGTTTTAGTACTGGGATATGAAGATAAAAAATCTGAATTATGTAAAATAAAATATTTTATTACAAAAACCCCTGTGTAAATATTGTACATTTGTAAAAAAAATATTTATATTAAAAATAACAATTCAATATCACTATAAATATATAATCACTTAAAATGTTATTCTGATTTGAAAATACTCAGTAACAATCTAACAATAACCATGCACCATCATTATTGTACAAACTTTTAAAGAAAAGTTCTTCATAATACTTTTCAGTTCATTGTTCATTACATTTTGTATAAAAAACATATAAAATAACATTTTGATTTGATTCACATAAGTAGGTATCTTTCCAATAAGTCATTTATGCTTACATTATGTACTTTTAAGTATCACTATAAAATAATTTTCCATTTTTGTAAAACTTTCAATTGTGATTTTAAGACTAAATTTTTGTTCTTATTTACCACATAATAAATAAATTATTTAAATTAATAAATTCAATATTTAGTTAACAGTTTTGATAATTCGAAAACGTCATACGTAAAAGTAACATCCACCACAATACTTATTACTAATTTTTTATTATAATTGTTATATTCTTATATTACTGGCAATACATTAGGAATGTTTATTGTGATGACAAGGAACATTTTTATATTTCAATTAAGAAAAGTATTCGATCGATTTTAATATACAAAATAATAGCAGCGTTTTACGCCACGCCTATATGATTTTATCGCGGTAGGTAATTAATATCGAGTACGTCATAAAATGTATAGTAAGTACCAATACATCCTGATTTATCTTATTCTCCACAAAGTACACAATAAAACAGCCTCGAAAACATTGTTGATAACGTAGTACACTATGTACTATTTTCTTTTCAAGCGCAAGAAATAACAGGAACGGTGTTCTGTAATTAGAGTGGACTGGCCATTCTAGAACTTTGCAACATAATATGTACTTCTTTTTAGGCGTGACATCATATTATCTTAGTCCTTTTTCCGTAAAAAATGTTGACAGCTCAACAGCTATCTGATGCAAAAAGTACTTTACAGTTTGGAGGGAACGTAGGTGCGCCAGTGGATGACGTCACGCCACCAGGCGGGCCGGCTCATTGACTCAGGGTACGTCATCACGCTGCTCTGGATGTGTTTGTAGGCCTGGAATAAATTGTTATTACTGTAAACTAATATTATAAAGGTGAAAGTTAATGAGTTAGCAGCCTCTTTGACTAATGGTAACACCGTCTGTCTCAGACCCAGAGGTACCGGGTTTGGTCTCCCCACTGGGGATTCCTAGTGAGGCATAAATATCTGCTCAGTTTGGTTAGTGATTGGGCTTGTTCTAACTCCGCCTGGTTAGCTACTACTATCTTAAGTCTGGCGCCATAGCAACAATGTTGATAGCATTGTTGTGTTCCGGCAGGTGAGGTTAAAATAGCCAGTTTCTCTGTGTTAATGATTCAAGGTGAAGCCCGCCCCACCTTCGGTCTGATTATGACTTTCCATCAGGTGAGCTAATCCAATGAGTTAAAAAAAATTCACCAGTTGTCGCCACTGTCTTTGCCACTAGTCACCCTCCTTACTTTACAGTGGCGCTAACTGGTGAGCGCTAAAACGATAGCCTTCATTCCTTACGTTCTAAAATATCTCGCTAAATATGTTTCACACTCACCTCCCCATCAGACTGTCCCAGCACAGACTTCAGACAGAAGTCGGGCGGCGCCAATGTATCGGCCAGCGCCACGGCCTCGGGGCAGACGGCAGCACACAACTCCAGGATGCCTTCGCGGAGTAACACGCCTTGCGAACCGGATAGGAAGCCACCCTGTGTTTGAAATAAGATACATTTAATGAGGGCTATCGTTTTAGCGCTCACCAGTTAGCGCCACTGTAGAGTAAGGTCCTGTCACTTGCTAGTAGCGAAGACAGTGGCACCAACTGGTGAGCGCTAAAGTGGTAGGAGGACTATCGCATTTGCACTCATCAAGATGGCGCCACTGTAGAGTAAGGTCCTGTCAATCGCCAGGGGTGCCAACTGTTAAGTATAAAAACGATAGCCCTCATTAAAGGAGTCTGTTGAAGAGAAACTCAGGAGACGTTTTTTGGTAGTTTGTATTGTTACACGCAGTAGATGTTGAACAGACAATGTTTCGAGAAAAAGAAAAAGTGTAAAAAAATGGTTGTGCAAGCAGCACAACACGGACGTAGTGCAGCGCCTTCTATGATTCTTTATGTAAATTATTTTGGTACTACTGTTAGTTCGGTAAAGGTGAGAAGAATCATAGATGGCGCTTTACAAACATTCTATAGATGGCGCTAAATATGTATGGGTTTGGAATAGAGTCTCTTAGAAGTGATTGCGTTTTTGTTCATCGGGAAATGCTTTGTGGGACTACCTAATATAACTCAAAAGTGTCCCAAACGGATCTGAGAGTTATTGTCGGAACTTTGATATGCGTCCGTGGCTAACGCAAAATGCCAGCTTTACTGTAACTTGAGTCAGTTCCTACGGAGTGGGTGCTGGATGGTGTTATACGTCAGCGAGACGTCATATATGTTTAACATTATGTATGTCACATCACATGTACCTAACCCCACCCACCGTAACAACTGTCTCAGTCTGTGATTTGGTACAGTTGATTGCAGATTAATATTTTTTTTGATAATAAATAGCTTCTTACAACTATGTACCATCGGCAACAGTGTTAACTATCTATTGCCTGTCATGTCGTCTCGTTCTATCGCAAATAATCACCATTTGATGATTTGCGAGAGCAAAAACGGAAATGGATAGTTAACTGTGAGGCCGTGTGTACATAAGTCGCCACAATACATCTTCATATTCGGTCTTCACAATAAAATAAGTACATAACTGTTCTACTTACAATGTACAACGTCGCCAGATGTTTCTCTAGTATGAAGGCGCCGTACAGAGAGACGAGTTTCAGCAGAACGTTCCTGCACTTGGCGTCTTCGAACTCCAGCACTGTCTTGTAGAAGTGATTGAGGATGGCGTTCTGAAATTAAAGATTCACTTACTTAAATTCTTTGGATTGAAACTTCCTTATGTCCAGCTTATTTGAAGCTACAGCTATATTCGGCGCAAAGACTCGTGGCAGGCGGTGTAATAATGAGACAGTGCGTAACACTTTTTTTATTGCACTCACACTATGGGTGAAGTCACACAGATGCAAGCATAGCGTTGTTTATATTACGTTATTTAATAAAATATTGGTGAGTGTGCATCTGTCTTAAAAATTACTTATAGCGCCGCCTGCCAGGAGTCTTAGCGTCGAGTATAGCTAAAGCCCGGTCTCTGAGCACATAGAATTTTGTCCAATGACCCCAAGCTACCCATCCTTATCGCTCGCGCGTAATTATATTGCTGTCGCGACTGTGCGACCGTCGCCCGCAGTGAGTGTGCGAGCGCGTTTGGACAAAATTCTACGTGCTCGCAGACCAGACTTTAGACAAAAACAAACCCCGTGACAAACGTGGTTGGATTTTTATTGGTGGTCAACCTGTAGACCCTGGCTACTACACAGAAGTTGCAGCGGTGGGAACGAAATGTGGGAAATGGGAATAGTCTTGTAGCCAGACCATTAATTAATCTGACTGAAAGGTATATTTAAGAGCGTTTACGTCTAGCGTGGCATGTCAAGTTTAGGTAATTTCGATGCTATTTTTATTCACACTAAAATAATTGTGACTGTGTGCGTGTTCTCACGCTCTATAGTCAAACCGAAATACTTTGATCCACCATCGTAAAAGTGTGCCAGGCTGTCAAATGACAGCTCAAGGAAACTATAAAATCTTCAAATCTTCCAACACCGACTCCATAATTATAAATCATGGTATACATTAGTCCTAATCAATAATAAATACGTAAATTCTTTATCAAATAGTAAATTGTCAAAGGTTTTTTACTATTTTGAGAATATTATATACAGCCTATGTTCAGCAGAAAAAAAATTGAATTTTAATGGTAAGAGATTTTTTCAAATCGGTTCTATTCAAAACAAACTTTTCCTGTTAACTATTCTTTTTTTATCCGGAAAATGCATAACATTTCATACCCACCAGCTGCGGGGGCAGCTAGTGGGTTATGTGGGGTTTTTCCTACCAGAAAAGGTGGGTAGCCCCTACACCCACTAAAAACCTGACTGTTTCTGCTATGATTCATATGAGTGATATGAGGGAACGCGGGACATCGCCATTGGCTGTTGCCTGTAGCATTCGTCCTTAGCCGCCACCAGACACCTCCATGTCTAGTGACCGAGGCCTGTTAGGAAGGGACAGTTGGAGACCATAAGCTGTCCTCTTGCGCCCAGG